ACCGAGTTTCTGGAGACATGATCTTTACGTTCATAGACTCCCATATTCTTCGTCGGGTCTCGCTATCAAGGTTGGTGATCTCCTTGACATTTTGGATCTCGGAGAAGTCTACGAGCTCAGGCTCTTTCTTGATTTCACCATGCACGTTGAAGACTGCTACGAGCACCTCCATGGGCGTGGATTCGCACACGAAATCTGCCACCGCCCGGTTCCTGGAAAAGCGCGTGCGTCGCACATCCGTCTTCTCCGACACTGTGAAAAGTTGGTTCAGAGCAAAGAGCGGCGAGAGCAAGCCCAACTTCAGCCGGCGAATCAGGTACACCGGCGGGGAGTCCTTCAGTGGCACGAAAATCGCACACTCCACTTTCATGGCGTCCCTTCCTAGGTGGGGCTTTTAAAGCCTTTTAAAAATATTAGTAAATAAGATCCTCTTAAGCCCAATAAGGGAAAATATAAAATGTCCCAAAGCCCTACCTAGCTTCCCACTGGGCCATCAGAAGACTTCACGAAGACCTCGGCGAGAAGGTTAGCGACTTGGACTTCTGCCCTGGCTTCCCAAGGCAGGGAGGAATCCTCAGAGACTCCAAAATCCCTAAGGTTTAGGGTTTAGGGTATCATCTTAGGGATCCCTAGTTTAATTTAAGGCACATTCCTTAATTAAGGGGTTTTGGACTCTTTGAATCCTCTAGGAATGCCATCAAGTCCGCCGGGTAGTCCGCACTCATCGGCCCGTCGCCGCTTTGGGAATCGCAAACTTTCAACTGCGCAACAGGCAGAAAGGAGAGCATCTGCCTGACCCGGCGAGTTGGAAGGCCAGAGTTCGCACAGCCTGGGTTCTTGTGAAGGAATTTCATGTATTAGCAGTTACCACAATAAAGAAATTTATGATTTTCTATAGATCCCTACTATGGTAACTTAGCTTAAACCTTTTTATAACAAGAACCCAGCAGCCTTGCAGAAGTCCCTGACTTTCAAGCAGGCCCTGGATCCTTTGAAGGAGCTGTTTCTTGCTGGTCACCTCGCTCGCTGCCTGAAGTTCTTGCTGTGCATGATGCAGAAGGTCATCTGCACACTGCGGGTAGCTCCTGGGTCTTGCTCAGGAAGGCATTTTTGAGGTTACTAAGGGATCTATATATAACAAATAATAGGCTTCCCTTGTTATGGTAGCTCGAACAAACCTCCCAGACAAGATATTGAGGTTACTATACTCAACTATTAGGGATCTGAAACAAATCACCGGTCCCCCTTGTTATGGTTAACTTAAACAGGCTTCCCAAACAAGAACCCTAAACCCTAAACCCAAAGCCCTTAATCAAAACTCCCAAACCCTAAACCCTAAACCCAAAGCCCTTAATCAAAACTCCCAAACCCTGAACCCTAAACCCAAAGCCCTTAATCAAAACTCCCAAACCCTAAACCCTAAACCCAAAGCCCTTAATCAAAACTCCCAAACCCGAAACCCTAAACCCAAAGCCCTTAATCAAAACTCCCAAACCCTAAACCCAAGAAGCCCTAAACCCTTCCCAAACAGTTCCCAAACAAGAACCCTCAACCCTAAACCCAAAGCCCTTCATCAAAACTCCCAAACCCTACACCCAAGAAGCCCTAAACCCTTCCAAACAGTTCCCAAACAAGAACCCTCAACCCTAGACCCAAAGCCCTTCATCAAACTCCCAAACCCCAAACCCAAGAAGCCCTAAACCCTTCCCAAACAGTTCCCGAACAAGACTGCACTGAACTGAGAACCCTAGCAAAAATTACAATATTAGCTGTTTCTTAGGGATTATAACAACCAAAAATTAAATTATTATTATTAGTAGTACTATTATTAGTATTATTAGTATTATTAGTATTATTAGATGTATTTCTAAGTACCCCTAAGAAGGATCGAGGCTCTTCTCCAGCACCCCCAATGCATTGGCCAAGGCCGAGGCCAGGAGATCTAAGGCAGGCTCGACGCGATCGCTACCCAACCTAGGTTTAGGGTTTAGGGGTTTAGGGGTTTAGGGTTTAGGGTTTAAGGTTTCTGGGTAGCCATTTGGGTAGTTGTCAAAATTATGGTCCCTTTTTTGGGTACCCTAAAAAATAGGTGCCGTATTATAATAAGGATCCAAAGAGGGACCACCCAACCTAGGTTGGGTTTAGGGTTTGGGGTAGCTCCTGTAAAAGGGGATTATAAGGGTTCCTTCAAAGGAATCTACAAGGGTGGTGAATCTAATGGTTCCTTGAAAGGGATCTATAAGGGTACTACACGGTTTAAGGTTTTGAGGCTACTTTACTAGGTTTTTGAGTAGCTCCTTTGAAAGGGATTATAAGGGTTCCTGTGAAGGACCTATAAGGATACAAAACAAAAAAGGGAAAAGGGTACTAGTCAGGAACCTAGCAACTCATTCCATCTACCCTGGATCCTTAGTTGTTGAGTTCATACTGCGAGGCTCCATTGAGTTCATTTTTGGGGGCTCATATTTAGATTCCCGCAAGGCAATCCCCAAAAGGGACTACTATTGAGCGTGTGGGTAACCAAAAGAAGTGTACACTTTCAGCTTTATAGTGCGTAATATTATCCCAAAGAGTGTAGAGTGTATCCACTCAGCTACTAAGGATCAGAGTGTGGCGGAATGCTCTCGATGTCATGGCCGCAACATGCTTGACATGCCTGTCACTGTCAGTGCCCAATTCAGGCAACTGGATATGGGTAAGAGCTTTTTCCAGCGCAGCTCTCCAGTTCCTCTGCCAGACCACTGTGCAATCTTCGTCGAAGAAGAACAGGGCGGCGGCGTTAGCAAAATGGTTGAAGGAAGAAGCCCACAGCTTTGGCATCTCGACCGTGCGCTGCTGCTGCCACTGCTGCTGAAGAGACCATCGGCACATGTGGTTTAGCATGGCAGCCATTTGCCGCCGGCTCTCTTGCATAGATGCCAGGTTGTACTCCATGCGGTCTAGTTGTTCGCACATCTCCAGCAGCTTCTGCCACCATTCGGCACCATTCATGACCATGATTTGCGGCACGTTCTTTCCACCCTTTAGGAGGCTTGCTTGCGAGCCAGAATGGCTGGGAAGGCACAAACGAAGCTTGCAATGCACATGCCGAACTCAGCCCAAACACTCAGTGTGCTAACCCCAGCAGAGAACTACGTTTGCAATATTCGGGTCGTTGGGAACCCAAGACAGTGACCCCAGACAGCAGCATCCTAACAACGAATGCCCTTGCACGGGGACACATATCTTCCGGAACACCGGCTATCGAAGTTTAACATCAGCGAAGGTATGATGAAGCCTGCACCGTGCGAAACTGTTCCATAACACTCTATAAACAGCCTGTAACGCCCCAAATCCTGAAAGCCATAAGCATCCTACACAATACCACAGAACACTAAAGGCCGTTTCAATACCTATGAAGATCCGAAAGTTGTCATCCTAGCCTATGAACGCCTAAAAGCACACCCAACATCCTACAAAGCCCTGCCTCAACCCTGAATCACCTACCTTTTTCGGGTTCCTTATTATGACCCTTATACAAGTCCTGAAAAAGGTAGGTTTTTCCGGGTGAAGGCACGCCCTAAACCCTATGAACCCTCATCCCGAAAACGCCGCCAAACGCCTGTACCAGCATGATTTGGGAGTTTCCGAAAATAGGGGACCCTAAAATAGCACCCTAAATAGTAGCATCCTTTTCATAAGGACCCCAAAAGAAGGTACCCCTAATTTTCGGGAACTCCCATTTATGGCCGAGACCAGTCATCGAGCCTCCTTGCACCGTTCGGGCGGGAACTAGGGTTTACCTATGGATCCAAAAACCTACCGTTTTAAGGGTTAGACCATCCAATTAAGGGGTCATGACCTACTACTTTGTAGGGTTTGGGGATACAGGTTACCCATATTCTTATTATAGCTATACTATAAAGGAGCCCAAACCCCTACTCTAATTATAAAGGCCCCTACATGAAATCCTTTTGTTTAGGGAAGTACGGGCTAGGATTAAAAGCTTTACGGCAAAGGGTTCGTTGAATGTTTAGGGTTCAAGTGCCCTCGCATTTTGTGATTCAGGGGTTCAAAGTATAATAGTATAGGGTATATGGTCTATAGATACGGCTTAGGGCTTAGGTAAGTTTACCTTCGATTCTGAAAAGATGGGTATTCACGACATCGAAGGATCTACAAGTACCATCTAGGCAACTCGATGCATTGTGGGAGGTTTTGGGGTATACAGGGGTTCAAACGGTTGATGATATACATCCTGCATTACCCATAATAAGGAATGCACAATAGTTCCCATAGTCTAGGGTCACTGAGGTAATGCAGGATTTATATCATCAACCGAAGTTCAGAGCCTGGGGTTTCAAATTCAGTGGCAAGACGAACGAAGTGGCACCCTGCTGCCTGAGCATGGCCGGCGGCGCCGTCGGAGTGGATGCGCGCAACATGATGATTTGGCCGTGTAATATAGGTGCCTAAATGTTACTCATACCATTTTGTGGGTTCCTTATTATAACTATAGTATACTGGGCCCTGTACGACCTGTACTATTCTCATTATTAGGGCCCCGATATTATGTGCGATGGTCTTGGCTGGCCTCCATGTCTTCGAAACTTGCTGTCTGTGCGACTTCGGGCAACGGTTCTGGCGATGTTGAGCCGTGCAGGAAGCAGAGGTGCTGGTGTGTAATTAGAAGTTAGTTTATTATAAACTATAAACCCTACACCCTAAACCCCTAAAACCTAAACCCCAATGTTGCTGCAGCAGACGCCCAGAGGCATCCTGTCGTGACTGTGGTTGAACCCCAAGAAGCCAACACACCTCGACTACAACCCAGCTAGTCAAATCACAGAGGCATCGTAGATTCCTCAATTTAACAAAAAACGTTACTTAAGGGATTTTGGAGACTGTTGGCTCAAGAAGCAGCTGGGCACTCCGAGAAGTCCTCTCTGCTACTGACGGCGGGCACCATGTACACTCCATCACACCATTCGACAACCATCTTCGGCCATTCTTTTTCCCGCTCATCTTTTGAAAATGACGTCCTCCGGCTTCGGCATGTTGAGCATGCCCACCTTGGTTGGTGTGAAGGGCTCTTGCTTACCTAACTGTGGCTTCTTAAAGAAGTTGCGGGAGAGGAGGGAGCATCCTTGGTAGTCTAGGGATACTTATCATGATGGCCCTATAGCGTTTCGGGTCGGTTCTTGTTTCTTGCGGTCCTCATTTTTTGAAGAACGGATGCTAGAAAAGGAAACAGCAAATTCTTGAAGCCTCAAAACCTTACAATCCCCGAGGCTTCCTTGTAGACCCCAGCGGAAATGTAGGTGTGGAATTTACCCAGAGGAGGTTCTGGGGCTTGGGGTTTAGGGTTTGGGGTTTAGATTGAAGTTCAGGGTATTGGTCCGCTTCTTGGGTTTGTAATTCCAGGTCTTCGGTCTGTCATACGGTGGGCGGGCCCGTGATCTCAGGGACACATGGTCCAAACAAGTACTATGGAGCCGATCCTAATAGCCAACATAAGCCCGAAAAGACCACATGCCCTGAAGACACAGTAACTAACTTGGGGATTCGGATCTGATAGCCTTCACCACAGGTTGTGTTCTGAAACCAGGAACCCCTAAACTCCTAAACCCCAATCCTTGCTTGGGAAATTCTGAATCATATTCTATTATACAAACTCTCTCTCTATATATATATAGGTTGTAAGATGCAAGACATAATATAATATTATCGTGTATGTATGTGTATATTATACACACTCATAGGCTCCATAGTAGTTCCTTGTTTGGATTACCTAATAGGATCCCAATTATACTATGGAGCCTACAGTTACACACGATAATATTGATCATCTAGTACGAGTATGTAGCACACCCCGACCCCCGGGAGGATCCAAAAAGTAGATCCCTTAATGGGGTTCCTCTAAAGTACCCTTAGTAGTATAGGGTCCCAAGTTAGGGGATCTACTTTCTAGATCCATAGTCATATGCCCAAAAACTCCCCTACCCCTTAACTAACTAAGGAATATGTAGGGTTCCTTTAAGGGTTCCCTTAAAGGGATCTAAAGGGCTTCTAGATCCTCCCGGGGGGTCTGGGAAGCAGGTCATCACGAGAGCTGAACTAGAGACGGAAAGAGGCCATCCTTCTCAACATCTGGGAGTTACTGCAATTCTGAGGTTTTTTAGGGTTCCTGTATAGGGTTACTATAATGGTACTATAAGAGGGCTCTATAGGGATTCAGAGTCTCAGCAAATTACGGATACCGGGATACCTTATTTTGGGGTCCTTATAACCAGGATCCGACTATTTAGAGTACTATATTAAGGTCCCCTATTTTTGGCAACTCCCATCTTACTAACACAAACACCAACGGCCGATAAGTCCGTTTAAAGGACTCAAACTTACTTGTAGTTTCGTGGGTAGTTATAAGTGCAGTTGTGTCCCCTAATGTGTCTTATAACTATAGTTACCCTACATTGTATCCCCACTTATAACTCCCCATGAACCTCCAAGTAGGGGCTGAGTATCCCAGCAAAAGCGTTAACCATTCCAGTTAGGGTAGGGTTATAAAAAACCCAGAAGGTTAAAATTGACCTACCCAGCCCCCAAAAGCAAAATCCATACCTTAAGAACGGAGCCCTTCATCCTAGCCCGCCAAGAACCCTCTCCCTCAACCCTAAACCCCCCTGAAGCCTCTAGAAAGTGCTGGGTTTGGCTCCGGCGTGAGACTGAAGGGTTCCTTTAAGGGATCTCTTTGAAGGATTTCTATACGGCTTCCTTTCTGGATCTCTGGTGGGCTTCTCCGAAAATGCCGCAGGGGCACGGCCGAGAGCGTAAGCCCGCTTCAACCCCCAATCCCACAACCACGACCCTGGACGACAAAAAGCCCCAAAGCGCTGCAGCCCCCGTTACATCTGTAGAAGTGACCTAAAAGTCCCTGCCAAATACAGCTCCGGAACGGTCTGCGCACGCCTTGTCATGGAACATTGGCTGTTTGTGAGTAGCTTTCATGGTTTCGGGTTTATATAAGGTTTAGGGTTTACGGTTTATGGTTTAGGGCTTCGAGTTTAGAGCTTGCTTTTCGGTTAAGGTTCAGGGTTTCAATCTTCGTGTCGTTTGCTTGTTGTTTCCATGGGGTCTTAGGGGGGTTGAGGGTTCATGCACGGTTTGGCAAGGACACCGTGGGTTCCAGGACTTAGGGCATATAGGGCTTAGAGTGTGGTATAGCTCGATTTCGAGTGGGAATTGAGAAAAGATGGTGTGTGTCAATACATAGGTGGGCTTGCATCAGAAAGCCATTCAGAGCATAGTGTTTTGACCCAAGTTGTTAACGGTTTTGCAGAATATATTATACTATAGTTACCATAAGGAACTCCCAAAATAGTATAGGTAATTTTAGTTTTGACCCCAAATCCGAAATTTAGTACGTACTTGGAGACTTGAGCAAGCCTAAACCCGACGAGCATCTTAAACTTGACGCACGCCGTAAGCCTCAAAGCCGAAAACAGCTGCCATGGTTTAGGGTTTAGGCTTTAGTGTTTAGGGTTTGCGAAGCATGCCGAAAAGGAGATGCTCGATACTGCATGGAACCTGTCGTGCTTGCGCTGGATTTAGGGTTTCAGGTTTAGGGTGAAAACTTCACGAACCTGAAATCCCCCAAGTCTTGGGCAAGACATCCCTATACCGTAATTGCTTAGGCCCCCTATTTCACCCGGCTTGTGGCTGACCTTTAACTTTCCGAGCATCTCGGTCCGAAGGGCCTCTCTTCTGTCTGGCTCTCAGTAGGGAATAGGGGAATGGATTACGGAGACTGTTGGGGATTATATGGGGACGACTATGGGGAAACATTCCCCCATGCCCCACTAAGCACCAGACAGTCTTGCCCAACGTCTCGAAGCAGCTCGCGAGACAAGGCCGAAGGCCTTTAAACCCCTAAACCCAAGACCCAATCTCGAATCCCCCTGAACCACCCTAAACCACCCCAAACCCTAAACCCTAAAAACTAAACCTTAACCCGAAACCTCTGAAACCTAAACCCCTAAACCCTAAAGCCTAAACCCTAAAACCCTAAACCCAAACCACCCTAAACCCCTAAACCCTAAAGAGATTTTTTGCAAAAAAACCCTAAACCCCTAAACCCTAAAGAGATTTTTTTGCAAAAAAACCCTAAAACATCTAAACCCTAAAGAGAGCCTGGCAAAAGTCGCGAGAGGTCCCGAGTCCATCTCCGTTGCAACCGGATCCACCTCAGGGTTTGTTCTTATCAAAGGGGAAAAGGAGGGACCCTTAGTGGGGACCCCTACCCTATAATGGGCTATACAAGGGGTATATAACAAATATACTGAAAGTATATATATATATATATATATATATATAGGGGTCCTTATTAAGGGTCCGTCCTTTTACCCTTGGATCTTAGTTCCTTTTTAAGGGTCCCTTTATGGGGATCTACAGGGATTTTATAAGGGTATAGGGTTCCTTCAAAGGGCTCCCTATAGGGGATCTATAGTAGGGATCCACCTCAGGGTTTGTTCTTAGTTCCTTTAAGGGTCGCTATACGGGGATCTACAGGGATTCTATAAGGGTATATAGGGTTCCTTTAAAGGGCTCCCTATAGTAGGGATCACCTGAGGGTTTGTTCTTAAAGCTTGGGTGTTTTTTTATTTCCCCTTCATAATTGGAACAGGGTTCCTTTAAAGGGGTCTATAAGGGACTGAGGGTTTGTTCTTCCGTAGGGTTTGGGGTGAAGTGTAGGGTTCAGCGGTTTAGTGCAGTAGAGTGTAGGGGTTAGGTTTACGGTTTAACATAGGGTTTGGGGGTGGGTTTAGGGTTCCTGTTATGGGCTGTAGGGCTGGGATTTCCTTAAACCCTACATGCTGGGGCTTGAGGTTGCCTGTATATGTGGGTAGTTGTCAAAATTAGGGTCGCCTTTTGGATCCTTATTATAATACGGCACCTAATAATTAGGGTACCCAAAAAGGGGACCATAATTTTGACCACCACCCATGTGGATGTGTGCGCTTTGGAGCTGCAAAGTGCAGATGTTGCCCCAAGCTCGGGTTGAGGGTTACGGTTACCGGTTTCGAGAATCGTCGTGACAGTACTTGGAGGTCCACGGGGAGTTATAAGAGTTCCTTTAAAGGGATCTATAGGGATTCTGTAATGGTATAGGGTTTAGGGTCTGCTTGGAGGTTCATGGGGAGTTATAAGTGTGGTTACAAGTCCCCTAATATGGGTTATAACTAGAGCTTCCCTACTTGTAATTATGACTCCACTTATAACTACCCATGAACCTCCAAGTAGGCTTCCCACTTATAACCTGCATCAGGGCTGTGGGGGCCGTCATCTCACTCGAGGAACAAGTGTCGTCAGCGATATTATTGCTACTGATGCTGCTATGGCCATCAGTACCGCTAGCAGGACCACAGAATTTCCACCATCCCCTCGACGACGACAATGCTGCCACTTACCTTCTGGAGCTTCGTTTCAAACTGACAAGTCCTCATGGGCTTTCGCCGCGAAACAAGATGGCGGAGTAGATTGAACATAGAAGCCTTCATGATTAGAATATAGGGATTTGGGGTAGGAGCCCCCCAAACCCTATTATATTCTAACTATTAGGGTCCCTACAAAGCGTCAGCAGACTGGATGACCGAGTTGACTTGGGTTGTTGGCTGTGAAACGATCGGAACGAGTCTCTTCAAGAGGTCGGTCGCATTTCCATCCCCGTAGCCTAAACTTTCAATCCGAAACTCAAAAACTAGGATACCCAGTAACCTAAGAATAAAAAAGCCTCTCTTTTTGGTATTGGGTAACTTTATAAGGAACCTAGGACTACAAAAAAGGAATAAGGGCACTACTGGGCATCCTAGTCAAAAACCCCGAACCCTCATCCCTGCACCCGAAGCCCTCAAGTCCCTGAACCTAACACCCGATTACCTCAAACCTGCAACTCCGAACCCCAAGCCCCAACAGCTCCATAAGTAAGCCAAAATCCCATACTGAACCGCAAAACCCTCGCATCCCTAAACCCTAAACCCCCAACCCTAAAGTTCATCTGCGCTTTTGAGGACCCGACGACATCGTGCACCAGCCTCTTGGCCTGAAAAATCTGTAATTAGGGTCTGGGGTTTTAGGGTTTTATGGTTTTAGGGCTTAGGGTTTTAGGGTTTTGGGGTTTAGGGTTTTAGGGTTTTAGGGTTTAGGGTTTAGGCTTTAGGGTTTAGGGTGTAGGGTCCGAGAAAACTGTCGTTTGTTTAGTGTGTTTAGGGTTTAGGGTGTAGGGTCCGAGAAAACTGTCGTTTGTTTAGTGTTCTAAGGGCTTGGGTTTAGGGTTTAGGGGTTTGGGGTGTGTAAGGTTGTCCAGGATCAGGGAACTTGTAAGCCCCAGTTGACTAAGGTACCTACAAGGCTGCGTTCATCGCCCCCAAGACGTCGAAGTAGAGCTGCGAGTTTGGGTTCCAGTTGCCTGATTGTGGGTTAGTCATGGGGTTGCAGGGCTCAGGGTTTATGGGCTTTTAGGCTTACATTTGTATTGTATTACATTTTACTATACTATACAACACAAAACGACAATGCTGTCCAAGATTAAGGGCTATCCGCAGCATTTTCTGGGCCTTGGAATCGCCGCTCCCCAAAGCACCAGGATGCACACTATTGTCAGGAAATGGACAGGGAAGTCATGATAAGGGACCCTCAACATGTAGGGTGCTTCGCTTGCTAGAACGAAGTACAGAGGATGCTTTTTGAAACCTAGAGACGGCTGTGTCGCTGCCTTCTGAATTATAAAACACTTTCCGAACAACACCGAACATTTCGGTTTCAGAATATTCGACTTGCAAAGGTTGTGTGACACCGTCAACAAGCATGCCCGGCAAACCGTTGAAGAAACTCAAGAACCTGATCCTAAACTCCATAAACGCGCGACCCCTAAAGAAGCACCCGTGACACTCTGCCTGAAGCTATACCCCCAAATCCTCAAACTCCAATCAGATATCCAAAACTCTGGAATTCCTTCTGAGCCTTATGTTAAACCTTACTTGGAGGTCCATGGGTAGTCATAAGTGGAATATAAGTCCCCTAATATGGATTACAACTACAGTTACCCTACTTATAACCCCACTTATAACTCCCCATGAACCTCCAAGTAGACCCTAAACCCTATACCCTTATAGATTCCCTATAGATCCCTTTAAAAGGACCCTAACCTCCAAGTAGACCCTAAACCCTATACCCCTATAGATTCCTTATAGATCCCTTTAAAAGGACCCTTAAAACCAATCAGGAACCCTAGAACTCCGGCGCTGGGTGCCTCGGAGCAGGGCTCCTGAAGCGAGTCCCGGAGCCCTCGCGCCTCCGCCGAGGGGGCTTGCTTGGAGGGTCTGAGGACTTAGTAAGTAGGGGGGCTCCTTGAAAGGGGATTCTAGGGGTTCCTTTAAAGGGCTCTGTAGGGGTACTATAGGGTTTAAGGTTCAGGGACTTAGTAAGTAGGTAACAAGTAGACTGATAAGTACCCTCAAAGGGACCCTCATCGGGTTTACGGTGCTTATACGTCCCTAAACTAACCAGTTACTAAGTCCCCGACCCTCCAAGTAGGGCTCAGGATTCTGGGTCTAGGTTTAGGCGGCGGGTTCTAGGGGTTAAAGGCTTCAAGCGTCAAGCTTTATTGAATTTTGTTGGAGGGGGGGGCTTTTTGTTCTTAGAGATTGGGGTTTGGTTGTGAGGGGTTAAATCTTAATATAACGGCCTCTAAAATTCAAGGTATATTCCTTAATTGAGGATTATTGGGATCTCTGGGTGGCTCACACCAAAATTTCTCTCATGGACTTCTGAAGCTTCGACTTCGCGCCACTGAGGCGAAAGCCAAGGAGTTCATTGATGGGAAGTTCCGAAAATAGGGGGCCCTAATATAGTACCTTAAGTGGTAGGATGCTTATTCTAAGGACCCCAAAGAGAGATACCCCTACTTTGCGGAAACGCCCTGATGTGTCGTGTCAGTGCTTCCCAATGCCGCGCCTGTGCGGCAACCACAGTGAATCCTGTGCTATTCGCTCCCATCGTACTGCTGCACTTTCTGAAATCTATCGGGTTCGACCGCTCTCCAAAAGGGCATTGAACTTAACCGGAGCTTCATCCGGCGCAGGCCCGCCAGGTTGCAAGTGGCACCGCATCCACAGCGCGGATGCCAGTTGGCTATTCAACGTCGGGGAAGATCGTGGCTGCAAGTTGTTCTCACGAGGTCAAAGCCATAATGGGATTGTTGCGCTTCTGCAAACTTCTTGGGCTTGCCCTTGCCTCCACTTGCAAGCTTTTCTTGCTGCTTTGTTGCAGCTTGATCTGCCTTGTACTGAGTGTAGGCAGCTTCAGCCAGCTCAGGGATTTTAACGCCTGCATTGTCCAGCATCTTCACGAATGCTTTTTTCCCAATGCCAGTAATGGCAGGGTTGATGGAAGGGATTGTCTTGGACATGCCAGGTCCCTTGCGATTGGTGCCAAGGGCCTCAATGCTTGTCCAGGCAAGGATGTTACCTTTGTCCTCAGCGGACAAAGCGTCCCACCAGCGTTGAGAAAAGCTGAATGCAGTCTGAGGCATGCTAGATCTGGGCATTCTCATGTGGGAGGTTCCGAAAATAGGGGACCCTAATATAGTACCTTAAGTGGTAGGATGCTTATTCTAAGAACCCCAAGATGAGGTACCCCTACTTTGCGGAAACTCCCTGATGTGTCGTGTCAGTGCTTCCCAATGCCGCGCCTGTGCGGCAACCACAGTGAATCCTGTGCTATCCGCTCCCATCGTACTGATGCACTTTCTGAAATCTATCGGGTTCGACCGCTTGTCAAAGGGGCATTGAACTTAACCGGAGCTTCATCCGGCGCAGGCCCACCAGGTTGCAAGTGGCACCGCATCCACAGCGCGGATGCCAGTTGGCTATTCAACGTCGGGGAAGATCGTGGCTGCAAGTTGTTCTCACGAGGTCAAAGCCATAATGGGATTGTTGCGCTTCTGCAAACGTCTTGGTCTCTTGCTGCTTTGTTGCAGCTTGATCTGCCTTGTGCTGAGTGTAGGCAGCTTCAGCCAGCTCAGGGATTTTAACGCCTGCATTGTCCAGCATCTTCACGAATGCTTTTTTCCCAATGCCAATAATGGCAGGGTTGATGGAATGGATTGTCTTGGACATGCCAGGTCCCTTGCGAGTGGTGCCAAGGGCCTCAATGCTTGTCCAGGCAATGATGTTACCTTTGTCCTCAGCGGACAAAGCGTCCCACCAGCGTTGAGAAAAGCTGAATGCAGTCTGAGGCATGCTAGATCTGGGCATTCTCATGTGGGAGGTTCCGAAAATACGGGACCCAAATATAGTACCTTAAGTGGTAGGATGCTTATTCTAAGGACCCCAAGATGAGGTACCCCTACTTTGCGGAAACTCCCTGATGTGTCGTGTCAGTGCTTCCCAATGCCGCGCCTGTGCGGCAACCACAGTGAATCCTGTGCTATCCGCTCCCATCGTACTGATGCACTTTCTGAAATCTATCGGGTTCGACCGCTCTCCAAAAGGGCATTGAACTTAACCGGAGCTTCATCCGGCGCAGGCCCACCAGGTTGCAAGTGGCACCGCATCCACAGCGCGGATGCCAGTTGGCTATTCAACGTCGGGGAAGATCGTGGCTGCAAGTTGTTCTCACGAGGTCGAAGCCATAATGGGATTGTTGCGCTTCTGCAAACTTCTTGGGCTTGCCCTTGCCTCCACTTGCAGGCTTATCTTGCTGCTTTGTTGCAGCTTGATCTGCCTTGTACTGAGTGTAGGCAGCTTCAGCCAGCTCAGGGATTTTAACGCCTGCGTTGTCCAGCATCTTCACGAATGCTTTTTTCCCAATGCCAGTAATGGCAGGGTTGATGGAATGGACTGTCTGGGACATGCCAGGTCCCTTGCGATTGGTGCCAAGGGCCTCAATGCTTGTCCAGGCAAGGATGTTACCTTTGTCCTCAGCGGACAAAGCGTCCCACCAGCGTTGAGAAAAGCTGAATGCAGTCTGAGGCATGCTAGATCTGGGCATTCTCATGTGGGAGTTTCCGAAAACCGGGGACCCTAATATAGTGCTCTAAACCCTGAAACCCTAAACTTTAAACCTTAAACTCCAAACCCTAAACTTTTATCATAAATCCCAAGCGACCCGGTAGCTCGACATGCAGTTTAGAATGGAGGGTGAATGCATCAAAGCCCTGAAGCCGGAAATCCTCGCCGGGAGACATTCCCAAGCCTTCAGTCCGGAAGCCCGGAGCCTAAATCATTACCAACACTCTTTTGGGGGTTCCTTATTATAATAAGTATACTATAATCGGCACCAAAGCCCTAATTCTAATTATCAAGGCCCCTACATTAAGCCCGAAGCTCTCTTAAACCATGTTTTGACCCACACCCCTAAGCCCGAAACCCCTAAATCCAGAGCCCCAGAACCCTAGCTAGACCCAAACCCTCTGTGCTGCCTACATCTTCACTCCCGAAACATCCCAAAAAGGATTAGGGATGGCTTCTAAAGGGTTTACACGGTTGGTGACATAAGTCCTGCATTACCCATCCTAAGGAAAATACCATAACTCCCAATGTCTAGGGTCATTAAGGTAATGCAGGATGTATGTCATCAACCTAAACCCCAAACCCCTTTAGATCCCTTAAAGGAGGCCCTTAAATCTAGCCTTATGTCCAAGGGTAACAGGAGGGACCCTTAATAAGGACCCCAAGGTATATACCCTTAATATAGCTATTATGTACCCATTACATAGCCCATTATGGGGTAGGGGTCCCCATCAAGGGTCCCTCCTGCTCCCCTTTGATTGTAGATGTCCCTTTTCAAGGAACCCCCTCAGGATTTGTATCATGAACTGTCGGGCTCCGGGGTTTCGGGGTGTAGCTCGGTTTAGGGTTTAAGGTGTAGGGTTTAGGGACTACCTTAACCCTGAAGGACCTACCTTTCTAAGGGCCTATATATGGAAATCATAATAAGGAACCCGAAACAGGTAGGGTATTCAGGATTAAGGTAGGGTTTAGGGTTCAGGGTTTAGGGTTTAGGACGTCAACTCGACTGTTTAGCTCTAGGGTTTAGGGTTCAGGGTTTAGGGATGAGGGTTTAGGGTTTAGGATTTAAGGACGTCAACTCGACTGTTTAGCAGGCCTGCTCTTTCAAGAGCCGTGCCACTGGGTTCTCGGAATCCTGACGGCGGAAGGGTTCCGCAAGGATCCTACAAGGGCTCTACAGGGTTTTGGGTTTAGGGTATACAGTTCGAAGGATATGTCTGTAGAGTTTATGGATTGAGGTTCAGGGTTTCAGGGTTTCGGGTTTAGGGTTTATGATCTATACTTCGAGGCTTGTGGTAGGTTTCGGGTTCCTGTCAAAGGTTCCTCCAGGCGTATCCCTCCAAGGCTCTACAGGTGTTCTCGAACTGTAAGGTCTAGGTTTGGGGTCGAGGGGACATACGGTTGATGATATAAATCCTGCATTGCCCATAATAAAGCATATACCATAATTCCCATAGTTTAGGGATGTTTAGGGTCCTTAAGGTAATGCAGGATTTATATCATCAACCGTAGCTTTAGGGGTTGGGAGATTGTGGTTTTAGCGTAATGGAGACTTAAGGGTCCAGGATGGTTTACGGAGATCACGGTTTTTGTGGCTGCAAAGTTTCATTTGGATGTAGGCTTTACCGTATTTATCCTAGCCTTGAACAAGTCCCATAAGGGGATGGTAAGGAACCCTAGACCTTGAAAGCCTCACTGGTGGATCATGAGGGCATGAAGGCCCCCGAAACCGCATCATGAAGGCTTCAAAAAACCAAGCCAAGCTTAGCCTGCTCAGGAATTCCTGAGGCGCATGGTGTACCTTTATCTGGGCAGGCCCGTTAACGTGCGACAAGAAGAGCCCTTGAAGCAAGCCTTAAACCGGCTAAAGTTACTTCCGACCCCTTTCACTGGGGGCTTAGGGCCTCTGCTGTCCGATGCAGCTCCAAATAACCCTAACCCCTAAACCCCGGCTTTCGGGTGTGCGGTTGAGGGTTAAGCTAGCCAGGCCTCTCTTGCAGGATCTCAACGTCTTGCTTTACAATGATTTACTGGCTTAAGGGGCTTTAACCGTAAGCCCTAAACCCTACAGGGAACTCCAGAAAGTTGGAATATGGTTTCAGGGTAGGATACCCTATAATTTACCAGAAAGGGTTTAGGATAATCATATTCCAACTTTCTGGCTGCTACTATACACCTAAACCCTACACCCTGAAACCTTTAGGGCTTTGGGTTTAGGGTTGAGGCTTCGGAGTCCTCGGTTTGAATAAGCTTCTTTAGCTACCTGGTTACAGGATCCAAGCCAGGCCATAGCTAAGCTCCCCGAGACAAAAAACATATATATATATATATATATATATATATATATTTATGTATATATACATATATTATAGGGGGTTCATCGTCGGAAACGCCAATAATGCATTCTATCACTTTAGTCCGGGGCATAAACCCTAAACCCTAAAGTCTTGGGCACCGGGTCTGGAGACTGAGGACCGCTGATGGGATCCCTGCGGTGCTTTCTCGACCGCAACGACTGCAATGCATGGTCTCTGGCCCAAACGTCTACAGCTAGAACAGACAGGGAGTCTGGCTGTGGAGGCTAGGGCTTTTGCTCATTTGCGATCAGGATGCTTCAGGGTGCTTCAGTTTGGGGTTAGCAACGAGATGTCCAAGCACGTAGCACAGTCTCTGAACCACTGCTCCCGTTTCCCGTGACACTTCCGACTGCTCAGAAAGCAAACGCTGCAAACCAGCCCGAATAGCTAGACTGCCGGAGTGCTTTACAAACTAAGGGACACTGAGAATCGTATGACTAATGACGGTTTTTTTTTTAAAGTGTGTTGGGGCCTTTTCTCGCAAGAGTCCCACCCAGTGTTTGGGCTCACACTAAATAAAATACCCATCTCACTGCTCAGATTGCTCGAACTTTGCATTCCACGACTCCACACGACGACGACGATAGTATCGACCAACTTGCCGACGACGAGGAAAATTTCCTTCATCGACTAGAGGCTCCCCCGTGAAAACATCATAGGGCTGACGACGAAGAACAGCACCATGAACGACTCCAAGGTCAGAGGCAGAAGCGGCAGCAGACAAGACACCCTCGTTCAAGACAGACAACATGGTATCCACTGAAGGGTGCCCTTCTTGCAGCATAATGTCTGGCCCATCCTGTGGAGAACCTGCAACTTGCGGAGAACGGAGCCCTTCTGGACGACGGTCACCTTCCGGCGAACCTGGTTCTTCAGGAGAATGTGCTGCTTCCGGCGAAAGTACCCCTGCTGGAGAAGGAAGATCAGCAGGAAGAACACCACGAGGTGCACCAGGACCATCACGATGTGCATCCCGGCTCCTGCTACGATTTCTCGTTCCCCCCAGCGACACAGTTGGTGCCGTAGAGTTCATCCCCATCTGAACACCACCAACCATTTCCAGCAGGGGGTTTACCAGTGTTGGCATCCTGGTGGGAACTGGTCGAGGAAGACGTCCACGTCGCCGACCAGTTAGAGTAGTAGAACTCGAGGACGGTCTGGTTGCTGAAGCCGGCCAGTTGTCAACTTCCCGCTCCAACGACTGTTGCACCAAGAAGAGGTCTCTGTCCTCCTCTGCCGGCCAGTTGCCCCGCGGGCTTTCACGACCAAGAGCACGATACAACTCATGGATATGTAGCCTCCAAGCCCTACGACGATACCCAGCAGCAACATGATCAGGTATCCCTGGCAGGGCACTCCGTAGCTCCGCAACGTCACGAGGGAAACCAGGCTGAAGCACCACACTGGGATCAGTGACCCAGTGAGACGGGCGATCAGGAGTGGCGGAGGATCCGTGAGCAACTTGCCGCGAGACCTCGCCCCACACCAAACGATCAACGATGCCAGCATTGAGAGCCAGAGCCGATTCTGGCAACTCCACCCACTGCAGTGCTTCCTCAACGGCATCGAGGAGCAGACGCGAGCAGTGTTGCATGTGACGACACCGGTGGAGAAGACGGCGGAGGACTTCCAAGGTGTCCGCGCGATTACATAGTGCCAGGGCATTGTTAGTGGCATTCCTGACGATATCGGCTGGCATCACTTGTGTACTCGTTGACGTCGAGGTCGATGTTCCTTGGTTGCCCAGCTCAAGGACGAGGAACTCCTGCATCAGCTCGAGACCATCAGCTTCTTCATCCCATAATGTGGAAGGAGAGGACAAAGTCAAGGTCTCCCCTGTGGTAGAGGTCGAGGTCGAGGTAAACGGTCCAGGCTCCTCTTCCGGCTCTCTCCAAATGCCCATAAGTTCCGTGGGAGCCAGGGGGTGATTCACAGGTTGCGGAGGAGGGGGACCGAAAGGACCCGGTCCCGTCTGTGGCGGCACTTCGACTAGTACTCCATGTTCATCAAGAGCGTGCGACGAGTCCATTGAATAGAGCTCGCCATCCGAGGAGGCCTCCAAGTCGACACTGTCACTGTGTGCTGAGTCATGCCCCGACATGTCCTCGTTGGTTTCAGAGTTGGCAGGGTTCCTCCTGGGCGATCTGGATACCGAACGACTTGCTCTCACAGGCGAAGCTGGGGCATCTCGTCGGCGGCGCATGTACGGGATGACGATGACCGGACGATCGGTGGATGAGGCCGCCCCGCCAGACCTGCCAAGCCACCCCATGCCAGCAGCGCTTTCAATACCGCCTTCAGACTCATGAGAGCGAAGGTGTTCATCGAGATCAGGTGGTCCAAGCGGCGTCTGAAGTTGTCCTTGGACTGCTTCTTGTACCACCTGGGAGAACTGCCTCGCCCACGTCCACCATCGTTCACAATCGCGGTCCGTGGCAGGTACCCGGCTGACAGGCCAGAAGCCCCTGACCCTCATCCTCCGTTCGAGGATGCCAAGGAGGCGGTCAAGCATCTCGCTAAGGCCATCACATCGACGAAGTGCACAACGAAGCCCCCATCGCGATTCAGGCCCAAGACCTCGTTCTTGGAACCCGTCCAGGCATTCCATCAAGGCCTCAAGCCTCTGCATCTGCACTTCCCTGAGCCCAGCTTCTTGAAGGGAGGCTCGCTCCGAGCCTGAGAGCTGCATAAAGGTAACATCCTCAGTCTCCATTCCCATCACCGACGGGTCAGTGGACAAGGCAGGCTCTCTCGTGGAGGTACTGATGGGAGAGGTAGATCCCAAGAGGCAGGACGAGGAAGAAGGTCGGCTTGAGGAAAAGGACGAGGAGGACCAAGTAGTCCAGAACGAAGGCATAGGGCAGGAAGTCAACTGGGACGACGATGAAGGACAGGATGTAGCCAAGCCCTCAAAGGGAACCCTGCACAGCGACAAAGAGCATGAAGTAGGCGGGCTCGTAGTCGGACAGCTCCAGGAAGTGATAGTCGAGCTCGTAGTCGAAGTCGCAAAGGCAGTTGCCAAACTAGTGGTAGTCCAGCACGTCAACGAAGAGAATGAGGTAGTCGAGCTTCCAGTCAAACTCCAGGTTGTAGAGCCCATAGTCGAACAGCCCAAGAAAGATAAAGTCGATGCGGTGGTCGTTGTAGCCGGCGACAGGAGGATGAGGGAGATGAGGTGCCGTGAGAAGACGGAGAGGTCGACCCGGAGGTGCTGAAGCTTGTAGTCAACCCCGTTGTCACTGCAGAGGAGCAAGTCGACCCAGTTGTCGTGGAGGTAGAACATGACGGCGAGGTCCCAGAATTCCACGAGGACGACGAAGAACTAGGGGTCGCTTCACGCAGAGCTTTATCTCTGCGATACTGTTCGAGCCAGGCTGGGCGCCATCGTCCTTGCAGCCACTGGCGGCATCTCTCTTCTCTTTTCGCCTTACGCACCGAACCTTGGCCTCCAGTATGGAATCTCAACTCCTGTGGCGTCCTCTCACGTGGGATCCACTCGCCGTTTCTGTAGAAACCAGTAGCATAGGTGCTGCCTCCAGCCTGGTCCGCTTCATCCATTGTTCTCGTCTGAGAGGGCCGAGGAGCGTCAGCATCAAGCTCATCGAGGGTTGTAGGTTCACCAGACGGGAGAGGTCGCCCTTCAGGAAGAGGCCCTTCCTCAATGCCAATGTCGCCCCAAGGAACGTCAGCAGCAAGCTCATCGATGGTTGTAAGTTCACCAGACGGGAGAGGTCGCCCTTCTGGAAGAGGCCCTTCCTCAATGCCAGTGTCGCCCCCAGAGGAGGAGGATGAAGTTGCTCCTTCAGGTGGGTAGTCGTCCCAGCTGCATGGCCACGGGTTGGTCGGATCCCAAGTGTGCTGTCTGCTCGGCGGATTCTTGAGGGACCCATCACGATTGTGCCAGCGGTCACGACCACGTTTCCATTCTCCGTTTCGCCGAACCCAACCTTCCTCCTCGTCGACTGTAGACTCTTGTTCCTCCCAGTCAACCGGAGTGGCCACAGTTGCCTGACAGTCCCCAGGTGATGCGAGGACGTCTTCTCCATGAGCATCACGTGGTTCAAGATCTTCCATTCTCCGTATGTAGCGGTCAACATAGTCTTCGTAGTCGAGGAGGTCGTCAACAGGGAGGGCCTGTTCTGCCACCTGGCCTGCAACATTCATCCCATGTTCATCACTCAGGTGTGGCACAGGATCGGGCACCGAAGAGGAGGACAGCGAAGTAGCAGGAAGGGCATTTGGTTCGGGAGGAGCTGGAAGGTCCGCGTCCAATTGCGTGCTCCCCCATTCGCTCTCCCAATGGGCTTGCGAAGCCAACGTCTCTCCCCATGTCGAGTGGAAGAGGTGCTCGTTGAACTCGTCGTCAAAGTCGCCGGGTTGTGCTGCCACTGCCAAGATCACCTCGTCATCCCCATGCCACCAGCGAAGAAAGTTCACCGCCAGGAGCACGAGCACCATGAAAGCGAGGCGTCCACGGAAGAGGGCCATGGTGCAGTAGCACGCACAAGGTGTGTGGAATTGCAAACAGATGAAAAGATGAACCTGAGGCAAAGTCTGGAAGTTGCAAGTTCAAGTAGTCATGCATCGAGTAGAACAAAAGCGACACGTAGGAGCCGAGATGCTGCGAGGATGCCAGTGATCGACTCAGGTCTCTGCAGACTCATCACAACAACCGCCAACAACTCGCAGCGCTTCTACACCGTCTTCAAAGCTCCTAGTATTTGAGAGAGAGCTGGCGTCCTCTCGTCCAACGTACATCCCAATCTGCCAAGTAAGACGCGAGCATGTTTTTCCATTGAGGACGATCCAAGGCAGTGAGTGCCCAATTGAGGCCAAGGCTGGTGCCAAGCTGTCGTTCCGTGTTAGAGGCATAGAATTGCCTAGGGTGCCGTTTTCCCACCAAGTCAGAGAGGGACTGCTCATGTCGCCACCATTTCAAACATCGCCATTGAACAACCAACATGGGAAGACAAGGATGAACATCGGCAACCCCGACCCCAACATCCTCAACCCTGCGACTCCAATGACCATGAAGTGAAAACTGTAGCCGCAAAGCACATGTGCTCCACCTCTCGATCTTTTCCGTCGCAATGTATGCCCTCAAGTAGCGCAACGTCCGTTTGTTCCACGAAACCCAATCTTCTTGTTTCGTGCGATGGAGACCGAAAGAGATTCGCATGATGTGCAACTGCAGGGTATTCGCTTGGGAGAGGGATTCTTGACTCCAGTGTACTGCGCCCGCACACCATCTCCAGGTGGAGGAAATCAGCGTGTGGATGAGGAAAAGTTTCCGCTGCCACGATCCTCTGGCTTGCAGAAGTTTGGTATGCTCAGCGAGGGCGGCTCTGGCTCTTCCGAGTAGTTCTTGTGCTTGGTCATGGAGGCTGCCGTCGAAGCGAAAGGTGAGGCCCAAGACTTTCACCCCGTTGTTCCGATCAACGTCAATGTCTTGCCCAAGGATGTTGAAGCGGAGGGGCCCCTTATAGTCCGCCGCAGCCACAACCTGCAGTTTGTCCATAGCCAGCTTGAGACCCGCCCCGGCCAGTCCGGACTGGATCAGCTCAATGCGAGTGGTCAATGTGGTAATCGACGTCTCGATGAGAAACACATCATCTTGGTAGTACATGAGGTCAACAGGCAGGTCCTCAATGGGCCATGGCAGTCGCCTCCATGCTGCACTCTGCTTCACTTCATCCAGTACCATTCCCATGACGAGACCAAAGACCTCTGCCGACTCAGGCGCCCCCTGTTTGATACCGACATTAGGATGAATGTCGATACTCGCCCCACCTGGCACCTCCCCATGAAGATGATTAGTGGCGAGCTGGCTCAGCAGGAAACGCATCTCAATGCCAACGAGGTTGCCTTGGGCGCGCTGCAAGAACATGTCGACCACTTTCTGCCGGCTCAACCTGTCAAACGCCCCAAGGACGTCAAGTTTCGTGACAAGGAGAGGAAGCCCCCACTCTTTGCTCATTTCCTGAAGGCGAGACATCGCCCCAATGAGATCTGAAACTTGGCGCCCCTTGCCGCATGCTGAGTAGCTCGACCCACGCCTCAAATGGGGGAGGACCCGATGGGCAAGCAAGCGATTCACCAATTTCCCCAGGGCAGAGCTGATGCAAATGGGTCTTAGGTCTTTGGGCCCCTCGGGAAGAGATTTCTTGGCGAGGAGAGCCAAGTAGCTCACGTCCCATTTCTCAGGTCTCTCGTTGTGAAAGACGATGTGATTGATGATCGAAACCAGTTGCGCCTGATAGTCCGAATGACAAGCAAGATTCCGCAGAAGATCAACCCCAACAAGATCGGGCCCGACCGCTGCTGCTCTCTTCATGCCTGCCAGTTGTTCATGAACGTCCTCAATACTGAAAGGGACCCACTCATCCTTACTTGGCACAGGAATGACGCCGAGCTGCTGATCAAGAAGTTCATCCCAATTGTCGAGTTCCGAGTCGACCATTTTGTCGCGAAGATGTCGAGAGACCTCCTCGGTGAGCTGGCTGGATGAGCGACTCGCTAACATTTTCCCCCACCAGCCTTTTCTGCGCCTCAGACGATTCTTGTAGTCGCGGAAGGCTCCCCAATCACCTGCAGCGATGTCCTGAAGTTTCCGATCCCACCAGAACCGGCGATGTTGCTTCCGAAGTTTGTGAGCACACTTCCAGTCGGCGGCGAGCATGGTGTCCTTAGCTTTCTCGAAGGCCAATCGAACTTCCGGTGGGTCTGTGTAAACGGCCTTCCGAAGTGGCTTGGTGCACTCGACAGCTATCTTCTCAATGTCTTGGACATCCACCAGAGTCTCCCCTTCAGGCAACTCGCCACAAACAAACCGAGCCCTGGAATCATTGTTCCACGCCCCATTCCTGCGAGTTTTGATCGGAAGGAAATAGAAGATTGGAGCATGATCCGAACCAACACAATGTCGAAGATCAGGTCTGATGTCACCCCTGGAAAGCTGGATCCATTTGCTCCACATCGCATCAATTTGCCTGCCAGCCCGTAGGGGATCGCGTGGGAAATGAGTGGGCGCATGGAGCTGTGCATCGTTCGGGCACTGTGCCTGGATCCCATGCTCGGCTGCATTCTGCGCGAACTCAGAGAGGTTTTGCGAGGCCTGAATAAAGTGACCGACTTCAGCTTCAACTGACCAGCGAAGTTGCTCATTGAGGTCGGCCCCAAGCAAAATTGGAAGTTGTCTCCACTTCTTCGGCACGGCTGCAAAGAACTCCCTGGTGGCTCTGAGGTAGGTACTGTGAGTAGCCCCAGTGTGGCAATGAATACTGCCCAGAACAACTCGCCCAAGGCCTTTAACGCGAGCCAAGACCCAAAGTCCGCGACTCGTCCCAATCTTCTCAATCACACAGTCCAGGATGTCTTGAGACACCCCAATGGCGACCCCTCGGTACTGCGAAGCATGGCGATGAAGGATCCAATGGAAGTTATCGCCATCATCGACATCGAAACCCTCTTCTCCCCTAGCAACTTCTTGAAGCATGACGAATTCCGCATTGGCCAGGACAATGTCCACTGTTTGAACGGTCTGGCCGCCCAGGTTCCAGGTTACTGCACCCGCTGCACGTGATCTTGCACCCCGCGCGGCTTGTCTCCCCCGAGTCTTAGACTGAGAAGAGGCGGAATGATCCAAGGAATCCTGGGTGAAACATTGTTTTCCCTCTCAAAGTTCCAGCTCCAAAGCCGCACGAACAGCGGCAGTGGAGGCTCCTGTGATCGCAACAAGGGCATTCACATCGACCCAACCTCCAGGCAACAAGAGGAAGTCGCCCGCCGGAGGCTTGCGGTGAGTAGAGCTCGCGATTTTATATGCCCCCAGCCATATGGTGCCATTGTTCCAGTCGCAGTCGTAGGAGTCAGCAACTATCGACGCCGGCTTCAATGGCTGTCCCGCCGAATCCTTCGTGTCAGCTGCGAGCTGTGTGGCAACTCTACGAACCTGGCTCACCAGCTGAGAACGTTTTCGTCCCTCTTTGGTTTTGACGAACGCCCCCCAGGCAGGTTTAGCATCTCCATTAGAAGCGGCACTGGGGAAAACCTTCTTGAGCTCCCTGATTCCCTTCACCACCGTCCACATCCTGTTCTTGAGCTCCTTCTCGGTCTCACCCGCACGCAACACGAACCGCAGCATGCCAACGCTTCGACGAGGACCCCAGACTGCAACCTGGTTCTGATCGACGGACTCTTTCAGGATCTCGTGCTCAAGAAGTGTCTTACTCTCCTCTTCGATCACGCTCTTCCTGGTATCTTGAGCCCATCCCCCGATCACCAGGGTTTTCCGTTCTTCATCAGTGAGCTCATCTGCCTGTTGCCCTCGCGAACTCGCCCCTGTTGTGAATCCCTGCCCCTTGTGCTGCTGCTGCTGCTGGTTGAGGTATTGTGCCCAAGGGTCACCCGCAGGACCGGGAACAGGATTGCCAAGAGGAGCACCCTGGGGTTGAGCAAGAGGTTGACCGTCAATCTTCCCCTCCTTGAGTTCGTCGCGGAGCTGTTGTAGATCATGGGTGACTTCATCCAACCTCCGGGCATGAACCTCACAAGCTGTCTTGGACTCAAGCGACTGCTTCTCCACGGCCTTGACACGACCCTTGAGAGATTGCGTCTCCCCCTTAACAGCAGCAACGTTCTTTTCCACTTTGCCCAGGCGGCTGCCAAAAGTGTCCTCCAAAGAGACCTGAAGTCGGCTGAGGTGGGCCTCAAGCATAGCCTGCATAGTCTTCCCCGTCAGAGGGCCATCATCCCCATCTCGGTCGCGAGAAGGACGTTTAGAAGGGCTTTCATCATTCGAATCGATCTCGCCATCGCCCTCCTGTTTGATATGGGAAACCTTGCGGCCACGACCACGCTTCCTTCCTCCTCCCACACCAGCAGATACAGATGCCCCGGCATTCGAAACGGCCTCAACGACACCCGCCATGTTGGCATCTCCATCGCCTTCCTCAGAGCCTTCAGCCAGTTCAGTGGGGGAGTGCAACTCCTCATCGTCATCATCATCAAGAGGAATGGGTTGTGTGATTGCGTTGTCAACGACAGACATCGCCCTCGTTCGCGGAACACCGAAGAACACCAACTTCCGGCAGGGAAGGAAAGTCACCCCGAGCAAGACACTTTAAGAAGAGGACGGTAAAGTGCAGAATCTCACCGAACAGCGACAAGTACTGGCCGCCTTGCCGAAGAGGAAATGCAGAATCGACCCCAACACGGACAGGAACTGGCCGCCCACTGCTCGGTCAGGAAGCCGAGGATCGCCCCGATGGACACGAAGGACTGGCCGCCCCAGCGCGCGGCGCACCGCCAATGGCAGAGGACCTCGGGAAGGACGCTCCTCACCTGGACACTACGGGAATTTTCCGAGAGGACACGGCTTGAGCCGTAGCCATTTTGCTAATGACGGTTTAGGGTTTAGGGAAGGAGTTACTACGCAGGCAGCTTGACGGCATGGGGCGCGTGGGAGCGGACCTGGAGTGCCCCAACAA